CAAATGCCAAGGCTGAAAGGTCCAAACTGGGGCCCTGGTGAACCACAAAAAGACAACCAGACATTTTAAACCTTTGTCAACCTACCACAGATCCGGGTGTCCCAGTGAAACCTTGGGCTGACCGGTCCATCCCCATCCGGAAGCTGAGGTCGGCGCTCAGCCAACGAGGCGGCTTGCGAGTCGAGGGGAAGTTGATATGAGAGGTTTTCTTGAAAGAGAGGGTGCTTTTGAATCTTCCACTGTTGTTTCTACTAAATGTTGATTTTGCCTTCTGAGGAGGTACTTGCATCTCTAGGGGGTTTTGTTGGGATGATCGCAAGGCCATTTAGACTTCCAATGCCCACGTAGAGGACATCTTGTGAGGGAGAGAGAGGCTGTGCACCATGTATATATCTATGTACAGTATACCAGTCGCCTGCCTTGCTGATGACGGAACAACTACCTGAATGATAAGTGCAGACACATCTTACGATATCAAATGTTAAACATGATGTAAAATCTCACTTGGAATTTCAGGCAGCTTGAACCGACGTTTGCCCAGATTGTTTCTAGAAACACTGGGAAACTCGGCGGTCGCACAAGAATCCTTCCACCCGCAAAAGCTCGCCCCTGCGTGAAGAGTCTTTTTCCAGTTGAACCCCCGTCAAACAAATGTTGTTTTTTCTTCGCACATGCTCTTCAGGTATGCTCTTGAGGTGAGAGCACAAGCAAGGGGAAAAAACTCGAGGAACATGCCGACTCCACCTGCTTCACCGAGCTTCAGGCGGCGGAAGCTGCACATCGCCCGAGGCCTCCCGTTGGAGTGTTGTGGAAAAGGAACTCCGAAGCCAACAAAAACAGGTGAGGCACAAAAGAAACCAAAGCACTTGAAAAGTACTGAACAGCAGAGCTGTGCGATGTGAAAAGACCGCCGGAGGGGGTTTGATTGAAGATTCCTGTTCAACCCGAATCAGGGGTCCATGCGTCCTCGGGTTCCTGACAGATTTTTTTGGGGCGATTCTGCGGACCTGGGGCATTCAGCAGAAACTGCAGGATGACCATGGTTGGAATAATTTAGACTCTTGATCATCAACCCCCCATATGAAGAGGATGTCCAACTCAAATCCGGGGGTTATATATCAAGAGTCTCCATTAGGTTGGAATGATGTTGGATGTGTGTAATGCTGAAGTTCTGAGGTCAATTATCAAATAAACATAAACACAGCCATCGCTGACAGAATGTCATGAATACACAATTATGATTAGGATTAAGTAGGTGTTTAGACAAGGTTAAACTTACACAAATATATGCTATAATTCTCAAGAAATATTGGTCTCTTGAAGATCCGGAAGCAAAACATAAATATCACGCCGGTGTTTAACTCACTACATTAATATCAAACAAGTATTCAGGTATGACGGTATGCCAATATATTTAATATGCATTGATATACTATATATGTTACTATTATAAATATTGTACATATAATGTTTGTCCGTGAAGTATGAAGATTGATTTCCCGGTCCCACTTGCAGACACCTTTGCCGCTGATTTGTGTCTCAGATCATGGCGAATCCTTGAGGCTTGTGATGGCTCCGCGAACCAAGCGAGCGAAAGGCCGGCAGACAAGAAACAAGAGTGAGACTTAGAGAGTAGGCCTTGATCACACGTTTGACCTTGTGAGACTTAGATTCGCTTGAGTCAATTCCTGCACCAAGAGAAACTAGAAACAGTAAGTAAGGAAGCCCAGAAGCCAAGACTGTGGCCGGTGTCGCGAAACAGTGTGCCCACGTCGCAGGTGGCGATGCCCGGGTCTCACGGCAGATGCCATGGATCTTCCGGAACGAAGTCGTGAACGCCCGGGAGACCCGCCAGGGTGGCAGAGGGCAGGTCAGGTGGTTGACGCATGGCGACGCATGGGAGGAAAACAAACGAAAAATACCCCCCCCCCCCACAGGTCAGAATAGGGGAAGTTCTGAAGGTCAGAAGGTTTGGAATGGAATAGTTGATATAGTTGACTATTTGGGGGGAGTTCTGATGAGGGATGTCAAAGACTGAACACATGCCTGGCGGTGAAAACAGGCAAGAGAGGCTGTTAGTATTGCTGCAAGACGATTGGCCAAAGAAGGTCCGAACTTTTGGTCCCATGTTTTTCAGCAAATGGGTCTCACGGTTGTTGAAAGGCGGTAAAAAACACTCAGGAAAGAGTTGTTTTTCATGGTGACTTCTTCTTGTTCTTCTTCAGATCGTTTCGAGGTGCCTGAGCTCATCCAGCACGGGAAGACCTCCTTGTTGGTGGATGACAGGGGCTCAGTGGGGCATTGGATCGTCGCCGTTTGGAGCGCGGCATGCCTGCAAGCCTGTGAAGGTGTGTGTGTAACCCTTGGAGTCACAGGGATCCTTTTGGATTGAAGCATGTCAATCAGTGTGTGATGTGTTTTCTGGGTTCAGACTGCCAATAGGCCATCGCCTTTGGTGATGGCATAAGTCCTATCCTAACCGACCAGCGGCGAAGTGGTCATCGAAAACTGCCCACGTTTGTCCTGATTAGGTGGAGAACAGTGAAGGCCGAGAATTAGGCCATACACTTGGACTGGAGCCTGATGGAGCGGGGAAGTTGACACAGGGAAGTGGCCTAGAGCTACGTTCGGTTCAGCGTCCGATCGCTACCTTCGTAGCGATGCCTGTTACGTTGGTATATAGCTTCTTGTTAGGCCTGGAATTGTATGTTGGTGGATGTTGCACTCTTTTGCGCCCATGTTTCTTTTGGGATGGCGTCCGCTCCTGCTTTATGTTGATTTGATCGGGATGAGATGTTATAGGGGAAGTTTTTGCTTGCTTTTGCCAGACAATCTGTTGGGCTGGCAGAATACTGCATAAAAGTATGGTAAATGATAAAGTATGTACGCTACACTCGGAGGATCCAGGCAAGTTGCGACGTTGCGAGCATATATATATATATATAATTATATATATATATTTACATGGCTGCCCCCCTCACATCCAAATTGGATAATTTTGGGCTCACCGTGAATTATGATTCAGACCACGTGGGAGGGGGTGAGCCAAGAGCTTGCCTCCGCAGGAACATTTGGTGATTTGGTCATTGGTTGCGACGGACAGACGACCTGATGCTGTCGATCGCAAGACGTCGAAGTTGAAGGGAGGCTTTGCCGGTGAAGACCAGTTGCCTGACTGGGGACCAACATGGGGCTACCGTTCGTACCGTTCGTGGGTCACACTTCCGTGGCCTCCACGGAAAGCAACGGCCCATGCGTGTGTTCTTCCTTCGTGTGCGGAACCTTCACCTCCCGGAAGCGGGTTCGGTGATCCTGGAACCAGATGGACGGGTGACACCAGATGGAAGGACACCGATCCTAATATATAGATCATTACATTACATATACTGTAACTAATATATATATATATATAACAAATATAAATTTACGGTATACGTGTACAGTGATATGCTTAAGGTTGCTTATATAAGTATACATGTTACTTGGTGGGCTCAACAAAGAACATCTCTCCAACCATCTCCACCCACGGAGAGTTTCGGTGTTCTTCTCCGTCGCACTTTCTTCTCCGCGCGGGCCGAGGTGTTGCCATGTGCACCCTGGCACGATCTGGTGGAATCAATATCCTCGTCACCCGGTGGAAACGAGCCGCGCCGCGAAACGCCGCAGCGAGGACGGCGCGCCGCAGAACGCTGCGCCTGAAAGCCACACTGGGCGTGGTTTTGCCCGCGTTCTTCGTCTCCAGCGTTCCCTTTTTCGGGGATTTCTGGGCCACCCGCGAGCTGGGGCTTGCCAGTTCAGACCTGACAAGGCAACGCTGAGGGCTAATTGACCAACAAGACTGGCGCTAACGACTTGAAATCACTAAGGCTAAGCGGGCACGCCTTTGGGTAAAACGTGGGCAAGCTCACTTTGATTGCTCAGCCCTTCGCGTTGTGGCAAACCTGTGTCACTGCTCTCTGACTTCCAGGGCCAGAGTGCCAGCTCAACCATGCAAAGGGTCACTCTGGTCAGTTGGATTAAAACCTAGGGAGAGAGAAGGATTGGAGAAGAGTGTTGTGCCCTAAAAGAAGATGGACCCTTCGAGAATTGGAGACATGGAAGACGAGATTGACCTATGAGTCCGTGCTGAGGTCAGGATCAAACAAGTGTGGTACCTAGCTCTTCTTTGGTTCCTTCTTTGGCGAATGCACCTGTTTTGAGTGCTGGCCCACCTTTTGCATGTCATGCCAAAAGAGGCTGAGAGACCTTACAGGCTTATAGGACCCTTTAGTGGTACATATGGGATGGACTATGAGACTGTGAGGCTGTTGAATCTCTTTGGGTGACCATTTCGACCGTTGAACCTCCTCTCCCAGGGCCGGATGCTCACGGACAATGTGGCCGTGCACATCGACCGGAGTTTCTTGCAGGGTCGCCTACAACGGGCCTTGGAGGCCGCCTCCAGGTGACCGGAGTGCATCCGTTGTTGGCAGCGGCCTGGGACCAACACCTCAAAACACGACCGACCGCCAAGCGCTCCGAGCATGCAGTGTTCTTGTACCTGTCAAGCTGCATGATTGACTGCTCCCCTAATTCAAGGACGTGATGCCCTAAACTTAAAACCCCCTCTCTGAGCAAAGCAACCACCTGGAATAGAAAGTAAGAGCATTGCATATTCACTATCCCCCGCATATGTTATAGCCTGGAAAACGCAGCGGCAGTGACGATTCTCTTCGGATTCCATCGGGCCCGATACTGTAATGAGCATAATTGAATCGAATTCCCGTCCTGAAGAGTGTCAATGTTTCAACTCAAGTGATGCAAACATGATGGCACCAAACATGCACCAAACTTAAAGTTGTGTTAGGCGATGCTACACATTGTGTTCCTGCAAGATCTGGGCTGCGTCTCGGGGCCAAACAAGTGTAAAACAAAATCATACAATCATCCACCAAAAACACCATGAACGCCCCCAAAGAACACACGAACGCAGCACCGCCAAAAGACTCGTTTTCTGGCGTTGGGTTCCAGCTGGTGCTCCACTGGATGCTCCGCCGGTGCCCCACGCCGCAGCACCGACGGCGATGCTTTGGCGATGCGACGTCCTATCGCCTCGTGAACGCAGAGGCGTGGCAAGCGTGGCACGGGCGGGGTGGGACCGAAGGGGACGATGGGTCCAGGTCTGGGGTGGACTCCACACTTCACCATTCGAACGCCCTATATCCCAATCGACGCTCCTTTCTTTCAAGCATTAGATCCGAATTTTGGCCCATGACTGGTTTGGAAAGAATGAAAAGAAACATGTGAAATTATTAAATATAAACATATTTTTTTTGACCTTCAAGCAGCCGGTAGCCTTCTTATTGGAATGTGCACAGCAGAACAATGCCATACAAAGCCATACAAAGCAATTTTGGTCTTTGCACAAAGCAATACGAAGCATGTGAAATGATTGGAATGACCAAAGTCCAACTTGTTCTTTGACCTTCATGAAGAGGGGTGGGTCACCTAGGTGTTCACGGTGTTGAGCTTGAAACTGATGGAAGGGATACATTGTTGAAGACTTCTCAATAAAATCCGGTGCGTTCGGGAAGATGGGAAGGGGCTCAGCGCTCAAAAGAATCCGTTGGGCTTGGGATGGCCATGGGATGGCCTGCTCAAACGACATTTACATTTTGAGAACTGATCATGTCACACCTGGGTGGTTTTGGATATGTTGAGTGCCTTTTCATCATTTTTGCTTACTTGAGTTGTTTGCAGCACATCGTCCTTGCAGATACCTCCTCAAAAGGCGGTATATAATGTGAATTTGATTGAATCCGCAACGTTGCTGGGACATTGCACACGTATGGAGAGAAGCCATAGGAAATTGGAAATAACACTTGGTCCGTTGCATAACAGGGCCGAACACCTGGGCAATGGATTGGATGTCGCTATATCCTGCATATCCTGTATTGGGACGGTGTCATCAAACTGTCATCGAACTCTATTGAAATGATCATCGCCACCACAAAATGTGACATTCCCATGAAGTGTTCCTTACAACACACGGACGGTCCCCCATATACCCTTTGACTCACTAACATGAAAGTGGACAATGGCCTCTTGGAAGACAGTTTTCCTCTACGAACAGGGTGTTTTACACTTCCATGTGATGTGCTCGGAGTGTATGAAGAGAATGAACAATGCTGGTGGTTTGTATCAATCCACGTTTGACGTGCGATGCCCAGGGCGATCTTCTGCCTGGCGTGCTGTGCGATCGCTACGGCGACACGTTCCCGCCCCCGAGACATACGTCGCGCGGGGAGGGATGTGGAGAGGAGTCGGCAGTGGTGCTCACTGAGAGGAAGGCTGAAAAGCCCATCGTTTGGTGTCCTTCTTGGGTGTTTGTTCGGAATTTCTGCACCACCTGCGAATGTGCAAAGCCATGTGATTTCAGTGTGATCAATCGGACGATCGGACGACGTCGGACGACAACAAGAAGCTGCCTTCAACATGGAAGAGGTGCCGAGGGATCCAGACCAGATCAGGATGGAGATCTACAATTGGTCGACGGTCAGTAGTCACATGTTTGCTCAAAGGTTCGAACAAAAGAAAGCTTCTAGGCTCCCTAGGTAGTTTTACTATGTGTTGTTTTTCTTTGGGGGGGATGGAGTTTCTGATGAAGAACAAGGGCGACTCTGGTTGTGCCAGTGTTTACAGTCCAAACTTGGAGGCAAGTGTGAACCTGCCGCTTTGGCCACGGTGATCCAATCAGGTTGTGTCTCCAGTTTACCGCTTTGGCCGCGGAAGAGCTGCTTCGTGAGGAGCTCCGTCACCGGTAGCATGACACGGTAGCACTGATCAACGCAACCCCCAAAACAGGTTGTGGAACACCTTTGGGTGGGGTGCTGCACATCTAACCGAGTTCCGCAGTTCACGCAATCCCAGCGACCCAACGCGCCATTTCAGGAGCTTTTGGCTGCTTTGGAGGCCGGTTCGTCGACCAATGCCACCTGTGCCGTGCAGTTTGAGGTGTCTTTCTTTGGGAACGGAACAGTTGGTTCGGGAGTGATCCCGATCGGTAAAAAATGGTGAAAGTCTCACTTGTTGGAGGCTGTTGGTGTTTCATTGAAAGCAAATTTGCAACAGAGACAAGGGAGCTTAATTAAGTTTTGTACGGGTTTGTCATTTGGCCATGGAATCGTGTTTGCCTGAGGCGTTCAGCAGCTTTGTTGATTTTGTTGATACACCAAAACTGTGCAACCCACACAAGAAGGCACTATCTTCCGTCGCTGATGATGCCAGGATCTTCTGTCGCCCAAGGCAATCATTCTGCGCTACGATGCCTTTTGGGCAGCATTAGAAGGAGGTTTGCAGAGCACGGGCGTGGTTCCTCCATGGCACTTCACACCAAGAGAGGTTAGGTGATCGTAAATAGAACCAGTATCCTGGGGTACCTATATAGGGAATAGTCTATATATATAAGATTATATATAAGGTCCTTCAACCTTTGTTGGCACGAAAATACTTGCTTAGTCCGACTGTGTAGCACTACCGGCTCGATGTCCAAACAGACTTGCCATGAGGGGAACCAAGTTCATCGAAGGTCTCTCTTTGCACCGCCTGGAACCAGTTGCGCTTCAACCTCCCGCGGTCGTATCTTTTGCATATATTCCTGGATGGTTTGTTGCTTTGTAGCTCGCAGGGATGCCGTTTGGTTTGAGGGATGCCGTTGACGCCGTTGACACGGCGATGAATGGCGTAAGCGTCGATGAATCCAGTTGTCGCAAACTCATGGACTCCGGATTGATGGTTTGCTCGTCGATGATGATGCGAATCATTGCGCTATGATCACTGGTGGGCTCACGAGTCACTAGTGGCCAAAGGCGGCCGCTAAATGGCTTCGGTAAATAGATATATAAGGAAAGTGGTCTTGAGAGGGTCCATATCTATGTCACATCATCACGTGTTTTGTGGTACGCCGAAGATTCACATGGGAACCCTGAAAGCCACCAGTGTGAAGCGACCGAGGAACACCAGTCGGACGCCGGGGTGCCGTTCGACCCGGGTCAATCGGTGCCCTCACGCGGCCCCTCCGAGGTCCGAGAGGATCGGCAGCTGGAGTGCGGGTCTGAGAGGAAGCTGGGATCCTACTGGAGGAATGTATTTTATATAACTTAGATGTTTTGGGGTGAGGGGGATGGTGAAGATGGCAGATTCCTGGAGAAGGATCCTATGTTTGTTTTGGGGTGGGGGGATGGTGGGGAGAACTTGATGAGATTTTGCCTTTCGAGCAAGTGCCGTCCACGGACGCCCACGGCGAAACATATTGGCCCATATTGGCCGCCCTACTTGCCGTTCGTCTTGTGTGGAAACGTGTTGTGGGAGGCCACATCCCATACACTCCATGGGACTGCCATGTATGCCTACATTGACCCCCAAACCACCCCAATGTATAGGCATATATGGCAGTCCCATGTGTCGTGTTTGGGCATTGTAAGCTCTGCGAAACTTCGTTGCTTGGGCACGTTGGGGCCTAGACTGGGGCCTTTTGAGACGTTCTAAACTCTGATTCTTTTGAGACGTTGGGGCCTGGAACTGGCCGGGATCGAAGGCCTGCTCGGCCTCCGGATGGAAGGCCTGCATCGATATCGTGCGATGCACCTACCAGACCGTCCGCAAAGGACGCTGGATGCCCAACAGCAAAGGTACACCAAAGCAGGTACACCAAAGCAAAGGGTAAATGAGAGATGCACTTTTTCATCTCAAGGTCCTGAAGGGAATACCCTGGTCCAGCCGGGGTAACTGGATCAACCAACCGCTCTCTAGTTAGATTGTCTCACAGAAATGGCCGGACAGACTTTAGGACACTAAGAACTCACACTGAAACTATGAGGCTGGAAAAATTGACCCTCACACTCCAAGTGCACATACAGAGAGAGAGAGAGAGGTAGATTGAGAGAGAGAGGGAGAGAATGAGAGAGAGAGAGAGAATGAGAGAGAATGAGAGGAAATTAGACATAAAGAGAGAGGTACATACAGTCATACAGTACACAAATATCAGATTACACATGATTAATTACAACATGTAGATAATTGTAGATATGTTATTATGTTTTTAATTGTTTTAAGAATTAGACAGCTAATATATACTCCCCCATCCCCCAGAAAACAGCACGCTCTCGAGCCAGGGAGCCAAGTAGCACGGTCCTCCAACCTCGGAACCGACCGGTGCGACCGCCCCAAACGAGGCAAGCTCATGTGCGACCTCCCGAACTGGCACGCGGTGCTTCGCCAGGACCCGATCGTTCGAGCTCCGACAGCCACACGGCGAAAGGATCGGCGCGAAAGGGTCCGGGTCAGATGCTGCCAGGCAGTGACGCAGGGAATCAGATGGGTATCAGCGTTGATGGTGTTTTTGGGGCATCAGATTGGTTCTAGGGGGGGTGTTGGAACACCTACCTGCAGGATCCTGCAGGCCATACTACAGCATAGCCATCATTGGGAGTTTGGAGGGCGCGGATCATTTGACCGCTCCGCTGAGTCGCTCCGCTGTCGTCGGTCCAGACTCGGTCCGCCGAGTACTTGGGAGACATGCCAAGGGGACGAACGGGGCTGGAGACCCTCCAACTAGGGCCGAAGGGGGTAAACGGAGTTGGCTATATGATGCTAAATGTATCCATGTGTTTTGTCACAGCTCTTTGTAAGTGGGTGAAACCATTTTGATGCCCTGAGAGCAACATGTCGTTCTTTTCGTTTCACGGCCGTCGAAAAAATGAGTTGGTCTTGTGGCTTTTGGCGACAACAACCACAAGGACAACGACAACGTCATCAGTCATCATCGACAACCAAACAATAAGAAAGAAGAACAACAAAAACAACGACAACGACGACAACAACAACATCACATCACGCACACACAAATGGGTTGGGCATGCGTCGACCAGTAGCAGCCAGGACTTTTGGAAGTCGAGACAGCTTCAGGGCCGGAGACCTAGCGGTGCGGTTTCCATGGCGTGCCGCCACTGGACCCAGTCAAAACAGAGTCCTCATGGCAATCTCGGGATCAGAACTAGCGTATTGTTATAAGTGGTTTGAATGTTGAAGGTTTTAACAGCCATTAACTTCCTTCATTCAGAACGTCATGCATTTTGTTGGGGTGTCGCACACTGGAAACCACGACATACAACGAGCGAAGGACGGTCACGACATACCGCTTCGATGGCTGATCCACTCGCGCTGCCCGGCCCAAGGTTTGTGTTTACTGCAGATCCACTGGAAGAGGCCACAGAGTATGGTGTGGCCCAAGTAATCTTGTCAGGAGTTGCTGACCGAGGAAGTTGGATGGGAAAGCACGGACGAGGAACTGAGGAACATGATATATATATATATATAACATCTCGTCTGTGTTGAATCAAACACGTATGCCAGTGTGTCCCAAATGATGCGTTTTTGGCGTGTGTTTTGACATCGCCCCTGCCTTGTCCAATCGTTTGGTCGTGATTTTTTCATAAATTTGGGTCCGTGGCGCCGTTGCGGGGAAGTTGGCCATATTTGGTCGGAATCCCAGGTTGGAGAAAGGAGTTTCATAGAAACATATAGAAACCCTGCTGTTTTGTGTGATGCAACTTCACCTCACTTCTTGGTGCAGGCCACGCAGGCAAGCAACTGCAAAGGGTAAAAGGACTCTGTAGGCAGTTTCCCAGGTGTTCAATCCACACTTCACTGACATGAGGCGATGTCGGCTTTCTTTGAGTACCATTCTTCGGTTATACAATGGTCTCCATGTTGACTGGTGTAAGTGTAATATCCAGAGGCCTTTGGATCGCACATGGCTCAAGACTCTTGCGTTGCCACTGACCAGGTCAACCAAAAACTCAAAATGCATAACTCAGAATGCATAAATACTGGTTGCGTGATTGGTGAAGTGCATGTTATGCACTGACTCAACCATTTATGCATAACTCAACCGGGTGCGTGCATGTTGAAGCTGAGACCGTCCTGCTGGTTGCACCTTTTCAAGCCATAATGAGGCCGCTATGCGCAGTAGAGAGAGTCCTACGACCTTGTAGTTGACCGTCCCGTTGACGCGGCAGTCCACGCACCTACGAAGTCCTGGCGATCGCGCGATGGATCCCGCGGCACCAGCACCGCTACCGCTACCGCAGCACGACGTGCTGAACTGGTCGCCGGAGGGGCAACGCCGGTTGTTGGAGCTGGCGCAGAAGCAGCACAACGCATGGCAAGAGCTGTTGGAGGAGCACGACGGCAGAGGGTGAAAAAGCAGTCGGGGATTGTTTGGCAGTCGGGGACTTTGGCAAAACCGAGGGTAACACATTTAACAAATTGATGCTGCTTGCCCGGTGGCGAATGGTTTTGGAGATCTGAGTACTTAAGCGTGCAGAAGGCCTCCAATACACACCAAAGAGGATACTAGAGGAATGCCCTGTGTTTTTTCTTTCTCCCCAACTCCACCTACTCGACTCCACCAGTCATTTTCCACACTCGCAGGAGATGAGGCAAGAGCAGGTGCTGCACTTCTTGGACAACCCGAAGGCTCCGACAAAATGCCCTTCAGGGTGACGGTCACCCGGTGACGCTCCGGAGAGTCTCAGTCAGACTGACCATCGGAATGGAAGAGTATTTTTTGAGATTAGCAGCTTTCGGGCTGTTTTTGTTGGAACTGAGATGCAATGTTTGCACCAGTAGGCCGGGTTTCCACTACATACAGGTTTTGCATTGAACATCTCGATTTAAGTCACTGGTCCAGATAAATAATGTGTTTGTTTATGTTTTTTAAATAACACGATATCATGTGCTGCAACGATCTTGCTGCAATGGCTTCAACTATATAAACTATCCCCGGATCTTCCAACTATGCCTAATTTCGGCCTTTTGGCTGTTTCTAGGGTGTGAAAAGGATTGAAAAGGCAGACATTTGTCACAGTTGGAGGGTCCACGTGTTTTTGTCACTCTTAAATGATTCATGTGCACAGGACACTTCAGAATGTGCTGAAGCCTATCCAGATAGCACACCCAGATGATAAGGGAAAAGTTCAGATTTTCTCTTTTGGCACCAGCCCAAGGAGGATTATGTGCACCATGGGAAGTTCTTGTCAACCCAATTGAATGTGATACAAAAGCTGCAAAGAAAAAAGACACGCTACCAAACTTCGGCCCTTTTGCACCACCCAGCCATAGAAGTACGTATATCATCATAGTGTCAGGTCAATCACCCATAAAATTGGACGACAAAGCCAAGGGTGTTGGGCTTTGTCAGCTAAACATGCCGTATGGATCCACCATGATCCACGTATTTTTCAGAGGGTGATTCGAGACACCTGTAGGTATGACTGGAGGGTCCAAACACCCGAGGTTCTTGGGTCACTAGGGGCTGTACCTACATACTGTACATAGAGGCGCCGTGGCGACCGCGGCCTTGACATGTTAGGGGTGGAGTTGTTTGACCCGTCGTTTCTTTTGGGGTTCGCTGTGTCGAGACCGGCCTGTGTTGGTCTTCACCGGGACTCGCTTTCGTAGGAGGGGCCAGGAAGCAAGCTCTCCGGCCTTTTGGACGACAGCAAGGGGGGAAGACAGAAGGGGAAGAAGGGGAGCTTGATGAGAGCAGTTCTTTTTGGGCTCCTGCACCCAAGCCACAAGTGGTTTGGAATGGCACCGAACTTCGGCTGGAAAGCCATAAGGGATTTGGATTTCGAAATTGATTGAACAGAAGTCAGCGGACAAGCGGAGATGGAGCAATGTGCCATACTCATACGGTACCAGTGACCAGTGCTTTGATAGTGCTGTGGAAACAGTGGTGACCATGCATTTATATATAAATATACTGTAGCACATGTTGTGCACTTCTGTGATATTTTATGTGAGCATGCGCATGCTCCTTGAGTTATTGAATCCGCCTTGGTGTGAAACAACATGTTCAAAAAAATGGTCCATTGCTATGGTCATGTCAAGTACGGGAAAACGGGACGCTCATGCTCGTGTGGCATTTTGTTTGGCCTTTCGCTACGCTGCACCTGCCCATTGTGTGTTTCGGTAGGCCACAGGAAGCCGACCGCCGACCGAGTCTAACCATGGTGCCAGCAGTATGATGGCTTGGTTTCTCTCTCTCTCTCTCTCTCTCTTTTTTTGTTTGAATGGGTTCTCTCTTTTTTTGTTTGAATGGGTTCAAGCCACAGGCACCTTTGATCGATCTTGGAGGCTCTTCAATTCTGTGTGTTACTTCATTGGTGGTCATCATTTAGCCAAGTAACAACCACGAAGGACGGCAACTATTGAATCAGGGTCAAGCAGATCAACCGCGGAACATTCCAAACACACCACAAGTGTCCAAACGCTGTTCGTGAAATGGTCTTTTTCTTCCACAGACAACTCGCCTAAAAGATGGACTAACCCTTGTCCACCTATGTGGGGTGGTGGAAGAGGCCAAAAAGATCCAGACCTCCGCGTCTCGAGCGGCGCTCGAGACGCGCGAGCGAGCGCGCTGCTCCAGGCATTCAGATGTCAGAGGCACCGAGGTTTCTGCCTGCCACGGAGGAGGAAGTCGAATGGACAGCCGCTGGGGCGCTGGAAAAACGCGGGCGGTTTCGGGCTCGTAAAAGGGGGCTTGTACAGGAGTCATCGGCATCAATCCTTGGTTTGAAAAGGATTTAGTTATGTGTGTGTGTGCTATGTGTGCACAGCCATGATGAGCCTGTCGGCACAAGTTGTATGTTGCTCTTTCTCGAGGCATCTCAGATGAACAGCGGAGAAGTTGAGCAGAATCGCAAAACAAATGAGCACCTCGCTGGCAAGGAGTGCACTAGTTGAATCGAGTTGCTTAGCCTTACTTTAGAACGGAGCAAACAGCTAACCCGGCTAACCCCCTCCTTGTGGAGATCCCTATATAGAACAGAAACAATGTTAAAGTCACAAGTTAGATCAAGTTAGATTCATGTTCAAGTCACAGGTGGACAAAAGCTTCAGTTCCCCTTTTTCCAATACCTGTTTGAGCTGTTTGAGGTCAGAGTTGGAAACATTGGGAAACTGTTTTCATGTAAAGGACACCATGGGCGAAGGACACGGTCACACCCGTGGGTTCGCACTGAAATCCTTTCCCAGTCGATGGCTCGAAAACTGGAAGGTGCTCAAGGTATCTCAAGGTGGCATGAATTATGTTCCTGTATAATATTGTATAATCATGTATGCAACATGTATGTAATATCTTGTAATGTAATGAATAATATTTTAGATGCTCCTTTTGCCCCCCATCCAGGCCAATACATGCCTAATACTATGCCTAATATGGCTTTGGTTTGGTGTTACCCCCTGCAGTTTCCAGCCTTTTCTTCCACTTTAGTCTTCCAACCCGCCCACACCGTCTTCCCTTCCAGCCAGCGCCGAGGTCGACGATCTCCATGGTCTTCATTGACTCGCCGGGCGGGCGGCCCAGCAGCTCCAGCGGCCCATTGGGGGGCGCGGCCTTCATCCAATGGCTTAAGCCGCGGATCAACTACATTGCTGGCACGTTGGTGGTGATGAAGCTTGGACTCCCCCTGTTGATGCTTTGGGACTGGGACGTTTTGTGAACCAGCGCCGACGGCGCTGCATGGTGATGTCTTTTTCGGATGGGGGGTTCTAAGCATGCCGTGACCCAGGAGAACATGCCATGATAGAGTCGGCCGCAGACCGGTCGGCTGGGTGGGTCGCAGATGCTTTGCGCGCGAAGCTGTAGCGCCCGAGATCGGTTTGTTTGGAGCCTTAGATCTGCCGTGAACTCGTGGCCGGCACGAAGCCGACCCTGTTGAACCCCCCCGGATATACGAGTTCACGTGCCAGACATGGGACAGAAATCGTAGGAAACTCTGCCAAGTGCAGCACAACTTGGCCATTGACAGCGCCTGAAGAATTCGTGGGAGTCCTGATATGTAAACAACAGTCGAGCTAGAGACGATATCACATGCACTGAAAGTTTCGAAGCAACAAAGCCCAACATGGCCGCACTATGCCCCAGCTTTTTTTGAGCATATGTTTAAATATGTTTAAGCTATCCCCGTAAAAGCATCATCCATAAAGTCAGTCCCCCCAGGCTCCTGCATAGAACGGTTCTACGAACCACATGGCTCTCAAAGTGGAGGGGCACTCAATTTATGGACAGCCCTTTTTGGGTGGACTCCTATCCATTCTATGGAAAGGCAATCTTCCTATAATCTCAGATCAAAGGCTGTTTCAGGTGCTGGACTCCAGCCATTCTATAAGCACAGCATTCTTGAGAAGAATACCTAGGA